TAAAAACAGACCTAAGCCAACAATAGCCTTTGAAATGACTTAAAATGCATTATATAAAAACAATGAGGCAATAATGATTGGTTATAACAACATTGGTTATAACACTATTAAAATACATAATGTAGTCTAATACAAAATAAACAATGTATGTACATTGCATGTTATTACAAATGCCTGCAAAGGGAGCCAAAGGCCTGGTAATTGCTGCTGCTACACTTGGGATAATCAAATCCTTGTTTAGGCTATTGGCCAAACATTTAATTCAAATATTCACTTAATCTTTCATTTTTGGCCAGCTTTTTGCTATAGATGACACAGCCTCTATAATTTCTTCAACAAAAAACATGTGGACATCACAACCCTTACAAAAATAAACCATGGTTTTATCGTCGTAAAACTGCTTAATTTTCTTTTGCATGATTTCTGAATGCTTGAGTTGTATTAACTGTACTGTATTAATAAAGTCATAAAAAATTTTTTAATTTACTTTTATATTTTATTTAAGTTCTATTTTGACGCCTATTGGTGTTTTTTTTTTTTTTTTTTTACTTCCATAATATTTGAGGAAGGGGGGCACAACAATACAATCCTGCTTAGGGCACCCATTTGGCCAGAAGCGGCCCTGGATACAACTTTGTATATATATGAAGATGATCCAGGAAAATTGGAATGTTTCAATTGAAAAGATTGTGGTTGTCCAAATTCCTAAGTTGTATTCTGTGCTGTTCTATTCAAACATGCGTGTGTTGGTTTTAAGGAACAAACATCATGCCACTATGGCTTTTATGTGTATGTTTCAGCAGTTATTAAGATTTTTTTTAAAAAGACAGCTTTAAAACTCAAGTACCCACCCCTACTTGCGCTGTAATTTGTTGGCCTTGTCCAAATGGATCTGAGAAGATCCATTACTCTTCCCTGGCATTCATGTACTACCATCTCCAATGAACTAGATTCATGAAAAATTAGCGGGTGTTTTTTAAATTTTTTATAATGGAGGCTGCTATTTGTCACCAACAGATGGTGTGCACTGAAAGCCCTCTGATAGAATAATGCAGCATGCTCCAAAGATGGGTCAACACAGAACAGTTGGGCCGAGTGGGCCATATGCAGAAGGACGTGGTCCTGCCTGCAGGTGCCAGAAAAGCCATCCTCCCTCTAATCTGACAAATATTCCTGATTAATACACTGACTTCTTTTTTTATTCCAAAGGGCTATAAAACAAGCCTCTTTCTGGGTACCTTCTCTCATACAGTTATGTAGCGAATCAGCTCATGGGGAAATATGAATAATTAATCATAACTAGTTATAATTAATTATAAATATTTAGATCCGCTGTGCTACAGTTATGTGCAACACACAATTATTTGCTATCCTGAGCACTTGCATTTAGCATCTGGGATTTAAGAGTATTTACAAGTATCTGAAGTTAAAATTATGTCCAATGTAAAAGCACTGCAATGTTAAAAAGCATTCACTCAAAAAATACATTTAGACCCTTAAGAGGCATTTAGAAAATAAAGAGAGTATGTGCAGAGCTACCAAAGCACTAGCATTTATATCGAAGGGGTCATGAAATGCAGGGGTTTTTTATATTATGTTTCTCGAGGTTAGTTTAGTTTGCAAAGTTTTTGCACCAGAAATATTTGTAAAAATTATCATTTTAAAAGGGGCATCTTGAAGAAACCTCTTGAAGAAATACCCACTACTGTGATTTGCTACAGCATGTTGTGTGATTTGATACTCAAGATGGCAACTGCTGTGACAGAGCTGTATGTTTGAGCCCAAATCAGATCCCGAGGCAGAAGAAATTGAAATATAACCACAATGATTGCAACAGTCTGTTTCACCATGGCAATTGCTTTTGCTTGCTTCATTTTCGGTTTATAGTTTTAAAAGTACCATTATTATTGTCGTGTTACAAAAGAGACTGCATTTATGCAGGTATGTACTGATTATTTTAGCAACACTCAAACAGTGATATGATTGGTGTCTTAATAGCGTTAAATGCTGGTTTGACATTTACTACAAACACTGTAAGATTACCAATAAATACACTTACCTGTGTTGCCTCCAAGGACAAAATGCTTGGCACTGCCATATCTTTCAATAAAAGATATATTGAAAAACTGGCAGCATGTTTAGAATAATTCACAAAACAGTCCGGTGTGAAATGTGAAGAACAAATTAAAACTTTCTTCTTTCAGTTTTTCAGTCGCTTAGGCACATCATTAAAAATAGTTCAGCGATGCATTTCTAATGCTCGGATCTTTATGAAGGCTATGCAAAGTTTTTGGAGGTGCAGTTTTTCTTTACATCCTCTGACAGAGCAACGTCTGATTTTGATGGTCTTACTCGACATCTGTATCCAAACACAGTATGGCTCTCCACACTTCCTTGATTACATACAATGATGACACATGTTAAGGAGCGTGTCAAGGGGAAATCGTGCCGTAACGATTTCAAATCCGGGTAGAAAAAATTATTCATATTTTAAAGTTAGTTTTGAGTTCTGAAACTTGCAGTATGTTTTTTTTTTTTATTGTAGATTAACCTCTTATATGTGTAAATATCAATACCATTTTGATTATCCATTTCATGACCCCTTTAGAAGAGAACATCATGTGGATTTCATTGGATTTCTACACTACGTTCAAACATGGACACAATCTGGTGTTACTGCTGGCACGATACCTACAAAGATTATCTGTGTCAGTTATTGCCTGATCTATAATTGAAACTGTAAACAATTCTAAAAGTTTGCCAATTTGTGCTTGGCCAACAACCATATCCCATCGAACACCTTGGGTCATCCTTGGAAACCAGAAGAAAATGGCTGAATAAAATAAACACCGAAGTAAGCACCTTGACAGCCATGTAAATCCTTAACTGCCGAGGACCTAATGCAGCTAAAATTTAGCACTGCAAAAAGACACCTTTACATTATTAACCAGCCGTAAATTCAGATGGATCAATAAAGTCTCTTAAGCCACAGGGGCAACCAGTTGATTTACAGGGACAGCTTGGCAGGGATTCTAAAATAATGTCCTACCCTAAATGAAAGCCATAAAGAAAACGTCATCATCATCAAATATTTCCTCTTTAGTCTGGTTGATGTCCTTTATGCTGTGATAATGTGAGGTTTTCATATGCTTTAAGAGGGACAAGTCTCAATTATAAGAAAGAAAAGGCCTATTCTGAAATATTCAGTGCCCGTACCAACACGTTGGCTGTCTTTCCTGATGCTCTCGTTGTCATGCCAGTCTCTTCTTCTCAAACCGTCTGTCCAGGTATAAATGTGTACTTCATTTAAGCCCAATGGGAAGCCCTGTGGAGAAAGAAACTTTTTAAAGTGAGATATACAGAAAAGATATTTAGATAAACTCAAGTTAAATCAAGTTAGATCTCAAATAAAAATACAATAAAAAACAACAGCAAAAGCATCATTATGAGAGGTAATTTAACTTCACTTTGAAACATTTCTAAGAATTCCCTGAGGTAACTTGTTCACGCCTAAATTGTCCTATAATGCAATGATTAAAACTTCAAACATAGCTGTTGTTTGAACAGACATTCAATTGGCTGAAATCAGTGTAGCCAGCAACTTAAATAACCAAAAAGCTTTCCAATCTGATCCGTAAACATTATACTGAATATTTAAGCCATAGGCAAAATTTTCCTTTAGATTTGATCAGCTGCATGAAAAATAATAGTGTACTTGTGTGTCTGTGTTGTGCGGGGTGCAGCCCTTAATCTTTTGAGTACTTGCACGCACACGGTGCATATTTGCCTTCCTGGTTGGACATCCATCTAGAATTGGTGCCAACCATCAATTCCATCATGCCAGCACAGCATGTCACATTTTTTTCCTTGTGGATTCTTCTAATTTGGGAACGAAAAAGCATCTCAAAATGACCATGTAGAGCGGTAAAATGTGTGCAGTATTCTAAAATAATGTCCTACCCTAAATGAAAGCCATAAAGAAAACGTCATCATCATCAAATATTTCCTCTTTAGTCTGGTTGATGTCCTTTATGCTGTGATAATGTGAGGTTTTCATATGCTTTAAGAGGGACAAGTCTCAATTATAAGAAAGAAAAGGCCTATTCTGAAATATTCAGTGCCCGTACCAACACGTTGGCTGTCTTTCCTGATGCTCTCGTTGTCATGCCAGTCTCTTCTTCTCAAACCGTCTGTCCAGGTATAAATGTGTACTTCATTTAAGCCCAATGGGAAGCCCTGTGGAGAAAGAAACTTTTTAAAGTGAGATATACAGAAAAGATATTTAGATAAACTCAAGTTAAATCAAGTTAGATCTCAAATAAAAATACAATAAAAAACAACAGCAAAAGCATCATTATGAGAGGTAATTTAACTTCACTTTGAAACATTTCTAAGAATTCCCTGAGGTAACTTGTTCACGCCTAAATTGTCCTATAATGCAATGATTAAAACTTCAAACATAGCTGTTGTTTGAACAGACATTCAATTGGCTGAAATCAGTGTAGCCAGCAACTTAAATAACCAAAAAGCTTTCCAATCTGATCCGTAAACATTATACTGAATATTTAAGCCATAGGCAAAATTTTCCTTTAGATTTGATCAGCTGCATGAAAAATAATAGTGTACTTGTGTGTCTGTGTTGTGCGGGGTGCAGCCCTTAATCTTTTGAGTACTTGCACGCACACGGTGCATATTTGCCTTCCTGGTTGGACATCCATCTAGAATTGGTGCCAACCATCAATTCCATCATGCCAGCACAGCATGTCACATTTTTTTCCTTGTGGATTCTTCTAATTTGGGAACGAAAAAGCATCTCAAAATGACCATGTAGAGCGGTAAAATGTGTGCAGTAGACAGAGCTTGTTTAAGTGTAGCAATGCTCTGTTGTACCGACGCCTCTTCTATTTGCGCAATAGGCATTTACAGGGTGTATAAAGTGGAGCACTAGAAGGTCTAAGAGGCCCCATTTGATCTACAATTTACCCATTCTCACAGACAGACCCCTGATAACAGCTCTTTTCACTGGCAGCAGGTGCTAATGCACTGGGGATGCACTAGAACGAATGGTTTTGATGAAAGCTCAGAGAGATGGATTCAGGAAGCCATGCTTCCGACATATATGCAGAATAAGTCTCAATGCCTTTTAGAGCTTTGTCTTTGCGCAAGCTTCACCATGGAAATGCTTCAGGTAAGCAAATTGGAAAAGACAGAGACTATTCACTCAAAATGAATCTGGCGAAAAAGACACAGAGATTTTTAGGGAAATGATTTAGAGTGCTACTTAGCAGAGTGGATTATGGGAGGCAGGTGCTTGGATTCCAGTAGCAGCTCTGAGGATTTGGGCGGCTTTTTTCCACTGTGTTTGTGAATAATTTAAAAACAAAAGCATTGCTTTATTAAGGCCCCAGAGAGTTTCTGGGGGGAAAAATTAAGAACACAAGCACATCGGAGTTTGTCAAAGGGGAATTTCACTAGAAGAATGTGACATCGACTTGACAGCCGCAAAAAAGAGAACTGCTAGCAGCAATGTTGGATATCACTCTCCCATAGGGACGCATGGGCTTCTGATGGTAAGACTTTGTGGCAGAGCACAGGTGGAGCTTGCCGAGGTTATTAATGTAGTGGTTGACTTGAGTTTGCTGTGAGTAATTTACATGTAGGCCTTGTCCCAAATGACACCCTCAGTAAATGGTGAATCAATGATGCATAAGCTGTCAGATTGTAGTCTTCAAGAAAATACAAGACTGCATGATATTACCAATATGTGCTAATAATGTTTTAGAAAAAAAAAATATGATTTCAAATAAATCAATCATAGTCAACAGTTTCTGGGATTGAACTAATCCCTGGGACTAACATTAGATGGCATTTTAGTCAGAGTAAAATTTATAAATATGACGAAAGGCTGACTAAGCACACTAAAACAAGGACTGTGGGGAAAAAAGTGTAAAAAACAAATTCCTGAAAATAACTGTGCCTTTTGATACAGGGTCACACCTGTACGGAATGGGACAAAATGGTCACATAATTGTTTAACACTTAAGTCAGTATGAAAAAACTGATGTGGCATTGTCACCTACATGCATGGCATGTTTAACTGCATTATCAGCTGAAGCTATTGAATCAACTGATTAAAGTTGTTTTTTGAGAAGAGCTACAATTGACAGATGTACGCATATAGTAAGAATATGGCTAAAACCCAAGAAAAACTGAAACACTCAAACCCACAGGGCTTCAATTTTGCAAAGCCGCAGCAATATTTATTTCTCCATGTCCTGTATATAACTCACTCTTACAAAACAACAGTATTCAGTTACATTCTTCATTTATGATGGCCTACATCTGGGGCTGAAGGAAGTTGTCTGTCCTCAAGAACTAGACATATTAAAAAGAAAAAAAAGACATTGGATGTAGAAAAAGCAGAGCAGTCCAGTGTTTCTAATTTTCTTCTTGTGTTCCAGAACAGCGAGGTTAGCAGCAATTTACCAGACACAGAAGAGCTTTGAAAAGAAAGCGTTTTAGACTTTAGTCTCCTGGATGATTCTCTTTTCCCTATTTTTCCCACACAGTAGTTTTCTGGCATGTCATCAAGCCCTGCTTTCCTCACATTGATTACAGTAAATTTAGCAATTACTGACTCAGTCCAGACTGGAGTGGGGTGGCTCACGGCACAGTGTGCTGCCTAATTAAAAGTGGTCAACAAAGCGCAGTGGTGGATGCCGCTTTCAAAAGCGTCACTGCCTTCAATATCCAAATCATATGGCTGCTCTAAAACTGAATCATGTAGGAGGAGTGTCCTCTGTTCCCCCAGTACAAAGACAAATCAAACCAAAGAGACAGGGAAGAGATAACAGAGTAGATATGTAGCCTACATAAAGAATATGGCATGCAAAAAAATTAAAAAATAAACATATTTTAATATAATTTTTATGTCAATTATATTAAACCAGTAGAAAAAGCAATGAGTAAGGTTCTGTTCGCCGTATTAAAAGACTGTTTACTTTGGATATATTGCTGTATTAAAAGTTAAGAATGCAGGACATTTGTTTTTCTATTTCTCAGGATGTGAAATGCTGAAAAAAAAGTGTAAGTGACAATAACGGAAAGGCATCTGTCTGCTACATACATAGACCTAAAATGTAAAAACAGTACAGACTGAACATAAGAACATGTCCTTCCTGAATGAAAAGAAATTCCTCAAAATAATTTCTTTAGTGTTCCACAGAATGTTTGAACAACATGAGAGTAAATGATGACAGAATATTGATTTGTGTGTGAACTATCACTTTAATAACCACATTTGGACAAGTAATAAGGCTACCACTGTAACACTTCTGTTTTGTTTCATGGACTTTTAGTTGTGTTTCCTGGTTGTCTTATGTTTTGTTCACGTTTCCTATGTTCCCACCCCTCATTTTTTTCCAGTCGCTGATTACGTTGCACACCTGTTACTAGTTTTGTTCTAATTACTTTGTGTATATCTTGCCCTCGTTTTGTTCTGTTCTTTGTCTTGTGTTGTTTGTACTGTCACACGTTTTCTCCTGCAAAAATCTGTGTACTTGGATTATCTTTGTTTTTGTTATTACTAATAAAAATACACTGCATTTAAATTCTGCCTACTTGTTTCCCTGACCTCTCTGTGACAACGACATTACCAAATGAGAAGTTAACTTGAACCCTGAATTGTTCTGACCTGCAGCTGCCATCCTGATACTGAGATACAGTGAAGATGGTGAATATGGCATTCAAACAAAAGGTATGGTTATTGAAGGTGCAATTGTCTGAAAGAGGCTTGAGGAGAAACTGAATGGAAGATGGTACAAACAATGAATGAAGTATAAAGGAAAACAAATGTATAGTCAATTAGTATGAATAAACTTGTGTCATCAAAGAACTACTTAAATCTGAACATAATGGCCATAGTGATTTGACTCTTTCAGAAACGTTACATTCAAACTCTGTCTGTAAGTGAGGTGTGCAAGGTAAAAGCCTTTTTTTTTCAACCCCACATTTGGCAAGCTTGTTCACCCTGCAATTCTCTGCTGTTTTTCTCCTCCCTCACCGCCCTTTCTCTTTTTTCTACAGATAAGCAAGCAGATGTTTTATACACTGCCAGCACCACTATCTAATTATGTCGTTTAGCAGTGCTGTCCAAAATCCCCATTGCCGGAGCTATTTTTCCACAGCTTCCTCCTCAGAGCTGGTTTTCAATGTCCTGAGTCCTTTCTGTCAGCCGCCGCTCAATGCTGGCATTGTGATCGCTGGTGCTTTATGCGCTTTGTTTGATAAATAGAATTATTCTCTGTATGGCCTACAGTAGGCGTCAGCAGTGGTGAGACTGAACTAAGCGAGGTTCCATAAACAGGCACTGCTAATGAGGACAAGGACTGTTTAAATAAGCCTTTTGTGTAGCTGTCAGGAGCTATTCGATCAAGCTGGCTGACATTTGTGAGTGAATGCGCGTATGTGTTGGTGTCAGAAGGCCGTGCATCTAAACATCACATTAAGTCAAGACATGAATCTAAGTGTCAACAGCATCAAAGTAACACATTCTGTGACGCACTGGGAATTCACTTCTCCAAGGTTGTTTCTAAGGAATGAGAACTGTGACAAAAGAAGAACTATCAATGTAAAAACATTGGATGTCCACTGCATGATACATCATTATCTCAGAATATGGGATCATCTCCAGTAGGTGCAGCTAATGAGAACATCTGCACATCAGAGCATTGCATCACATCACAAACGGAACATAGCGCCGACTGCGACCGTTCGACCTGTGATGAGTTCAAACGATAGAAGGAAAAAGACACGTCCAGTGGAGCAGGAACCATTGTGTTCTGATCAACCACATCATTTGCCCTGTGTCTGCCGCAAGAGATCAGAGAGCCCATCTTGTGCACCTGTGAAATAAATAAGCCCCATGACAATGATACACACAAAGGTGGGAAAAATGGAAATGCCTGTTGAATCTGACATCAGATCTGTGGCCGGGTGCATTAACCTCTTAGGCTAGTCTTAAAAAGTTAGTCATATATTCTTTTTTTCTTCTTACTGGTCATAACTTTTTAAGTCAGTGACAAAAAGGTAGATTGGTCTAATTTGAATCCAAAAAAGTAAGACGGATTACCTCTTGGGTAACTGCTAGTTGGTCAAACTAGTACTTAAGAGATAGTCTTAAAGGGGTGGTTGATTCCGACTTTTTTAACGTTAGTTAGTGTGTAATGTTGCTGTTT